GTCGTGGTGGTGGTAGTAGTAGTAGTCGTAGTAGTAGCGGTAGCAGTCGTTTCAAGCCTGTACAACCCTAAACCCCCCAAACCCTCTACTGCGGGGTCTATCTGGGCTCAAGTGGTCCTGGAGTTGGGGCATTCTGAAGCCTAGAATCTGTAAAGCACTTGCAAGTTTCTTGATATAGTGGCTGTAGGAGGTCTTCTAAAACTATAATATAGGGTTATATAGGGCACTATACTCTCCACTTCGCTTCTATCATATTGAAGGATGTACGGGAATACGACCACCGAAGCTTCCAGCCAAGCCTCGCTCCGGAGTGCGTCGCGCAGCGAAGCAACCAATCGATCCAGCGCGGGTCCCTGACAGCGAAGACGTGCTCGGGTCATCGGGTTTGCGGTTTGCGGATGCAGCGGGACTGGGACCTTTGAGCAGCTGGGCTGAAAACCGGCATGAGACGCAGAACTCCCCCTCAAGGTATGGCTTATAGAAGAGTTTACAGTACTACGTCATATCCAGAGCCAATGGGAGGGGGGTTTAACAAACCCACTTCAAGGCAACCATGACCCATGTCGCAGTGACGGCGTTGATGACAGTTGCAAGAAACACGCTGCAATGCTGGGGAAGAGCGGCGACGACGACAGCCACAGCCCTAGCAACGACGACAGCCGCAACAACGAGTCGACCAACCCGAAGCCCGAAATTCGATCGTGTACTGGGGTGTAAGGGGCAGCATACGTTCTAATAGCCTGGTAGAATATCCGCCCGTGTCAACGAGATCATGACTCTACCATGAACTCTGCAAGATTTACCATGAACTCTGCAATCTGCAAGACCTAAAGACCTTTACCTCTGTCCACCTAGAAGAGGGCCGCAAACATCCAACTAGCTGCGAGGCTGTTTTCCTAGCCGTCAACACTACCCTTGCCGACCGCAAGATGACAAAGCTAAACCCTAAGCCCTAAACGCAATACGCTGAGGCACCTTGGTCGCATGAAGCAGTCGGTAGTTCCTCGGTCCGGCAGTGCTTCTCAAGGTTTTCCGGCGATCCAGGTTTCGAACTTGGGGTTAGGGACGTTGGTTCAAACCCACCTTGGTCACCCCAAGCCTCAACCAACTGGTTGCAGGAGGAATTGCAAGAGTTGGGATCAGGCCTCAGGGTTTATGGGATCCGGTTTTCGAGAGCCGGGGTGGTTCCCTGCTACCCACTGGCTCGCCAATTCTCGGAGCCTTGCTCAATGTTTCGCTGCGCCACCGACAGGGACTGTGCCCCCTTCACCACCCTTGCGTTGAGGTTCAAGCAGCAAGACCTAATGCCCAACGAGCCCAATACCCCAATTCTCTCCAGCCAAGCTGCTCTGTGCCCCGGAAGAGGCTGGACATCTGCGACGGCGATAGCACCTGGCTCTTCGGTGGCTCCCGGGCGGTCGTTCAGGTTTGGTTGTCGGGATTTGCGACATTGGAGCTGTAGCGCTGAGTGTCTAAGATGTTGGGGGGCACATGCATGGTTTGACATGCCTTTGGCGCTATGTAGGGGCTATTATGTACTCTATGGCTGTATGGCTACCTTGACCCAGTATACTTATGTGTTCAACACCCACCAAGTACAACGCGTGCGCGTTGTACTGACACAAGAAGCTTACACAGAGCACGAGTTGGTGCGAAATGGCGATGACCAGAGAAACACAAGACAAGAGTCCCGGAGCCCTGATCCCAAAGGACCTATCCGAACATCAATGAAAGTCACCGAAAGCACCTTTCCTAGCACGCCCGGAGGCTAAGATTGTTCTCTTGGCACTGCATCGACAGACCCTCAAACTTCACTTAGCCTTCAACATTGGAAATAAATATTCCCGAGCGCTTCAGCGATTTAGGGTGTATCCCAAGAGTCCTCTAAGCTGAAACAGCATCTTCTGGTGAAGTTTTTCTGCGAATCATATAATTTCACAACCGGAAGGACTGAAGCTCTGAACACGTGATAACAACCGCACGGATCACATAGCCTAGCGAAGCCCGGCACAGCCGGCCTGCCATGACTTGGCACTCGAATTGCAGAAGTCCTTGACGACGTTGACTTGGGATTTAGGGTTTTGGCTTTCCAAGGGTTTCAGGGGTGTGGGCTTGAGGTTTCGACTGCGATGAGAAGCTTCATCGCAAGTCCGTCGGCGAATGTTGAACGCACCATGTGCGTGCCATAAACTCGGCCCGAGACCCTAGGCCGGAAAAGGCTGAAAGGCTGGCCTCTCGGTTGGGAAACAGACTGGGAGTTCACGAACTGCATGTAGTGGCGTCGTGGAGAGTTCTGTTAAGATCGCAGCCGGAATGTCAAGGTGCGCAACCTTGACGGCCTACAGTCCTAGCCTATGGGCAGAACCAGCCGAAGCCACTCGAAAGCTCTAAAACCTTAAAGCCCCCAAGCACCCATCCACATAAACCTTGAATCCACAACTCTGAAGATCACTGAAAGCCTCAGCCCTGGAACCTCGGAGCTTAAATATTCAACCATAGGATTTTTCTTAGGTAGCAAGGCTGAGCGCCTCTAAGCCTCTGAAGCGTAACACTTCCTCAGAGACACTCCCGAAGCCCGATCCGGGGCCTAGGCTTCGTGACTTCATGAAAGGGGTGCCGTAGTTAGTTGATAGTCTGACAGAGGCAGGTTGGGGAGCTTAGGAAGAGCACCGGGCACTGGGGCTCTACTGTGGCTGGAGCGGTTGCATCTGATGCTGCTTTGGGCCTGTTGGGCTTCCGCGACTAGAGGGCTCCAGGCTTTCGAGCGGCAGGTGAAGGGAGTATAGCTCATGATTCGTTCAAAGCTCGACGTTCCAAATCCTAGGAGCCCAAGCCTTATCACTAGCCTGAAAAGCCAATGTAGCCCAGAAGCCCTACAACCTGAAGCTCCAGCTGCCAAGAAGGGTCCTCAAAGAGCTGTTGGTCCCGTAGACCATAGCGCTGCCTCGACTACGCTGCCGGGGTGTCTTAATTGCTGCAAGACTCCCAGAGCAAGAGCATGAGTGACTGAAGCCTGAAACCGCTGAGCCACCTCACAACCATAAGTATCGTCAGGGTGAATGGTGTTGTAATCTGTACATGAAGGTTGATCGGATACCAACACGCCCGTTTGGAACACTCCTCACATTGAGCTCTCGAGGCTTTGATCCTGATCAACCTAAAAGCCAATTCAATCATCTCGAAATCTGAATACACAAGCCTTAACTGGCGAATGACTTCCAAAAAAAGCCTACAGCATTTCAGCATCCGAAATTCTGGAACCTTGTAACCTAAATCGTCACAACCCTAAAGTTTCCTGGGCGCGAAGCAGAAGCTGGGGCACCGTAGCCAACTCCGCAGCAGGCACTTGCCCCGGAGATCGAAGTCGCCGCCCCAGTTGGAGCAAAAGCCTCCGAGCTGAGGGTTGGCAGTTCAGTGTCTCGGGGGGCTTGGGGTTCACAGTGTAGGATCGAGCGGAGCCTGATACAATTTTCGAAGCCGTGCATCGTGGCTCCCTTGATCCTGATTGAAACAGAACCTCGTCGGACGAAGACTTGAACAGCCGTTGTACGGGCAGACCATCGTGTACCTGTAACGTTTGTGACGTCGTACATGATTTCTGGCGTTTATGGCTACCGCGATCTGACCTGCTTTTACTAGAACGCCGATCAGCTTCCGAATGGCACAGGAATAAGCCGAGACCACAGGTGCGCTTGCATTTGCGTCTGCGTCGACCTCTGCGTTCGAGCAGCAGAGCGACAGAGAGGGAGAGAGAGAGAGAGAGAGAGAGATAGTGTGTGTGTGTGTGTGGGGAGAGCGTGATTCGGACTGCCCAACAAGCGTATCAGCGGAAACGCCTCGGCTGCGAAACTGTACGCTTTTGTTTGAGTGTCTCTTGGGGTTTAGGGTCTCTTACCTGTACAACCTGGCCAATAACAAATTTCGGATCCCGTGGAGCTGCGTGTTCCATTAACGGTAACGGGGACATCTCCAGCAGCAGATCCTTTGAGAATGGAACCGGGTATGAAGCTTTCTCATATGCCTCCGTTGTTAGTCCTGTTAGTCACTGCGGCCAAGGCACTCAACAGCTTAGCTTCCGGCTAAACATTCACAGGCGTTTCCTCTTTGGATCTGCAAGTGTGATAGTCAACACACTTACCAATACTATATAACTTTAATGTAACATCTCTTAATTATTATGATGATCTCCACACCCGCAGCAAAGGCACCTGTAATCTTCCGTGTCTGTTTCCTTTTTCTTCTTGCTTTCCGTTGGACGAGGCCTTCCGTTCTCGCTGCCGTTCTGTTTTCCTTTTGCTTTGTCGGTTCCGTTCGGGTGTCCATGGTCGATTCGCTTCTGTGCAGGTTTCCGTGTCCTTTGCACAGACTTCCGCTTCTGTGCCTGAGCTCCCGACCGGAAATTTAAAGCGGAAGGAATGGAAAACCCGGCACTGGCCCTGGCCCTGCGCCTAGGCGCAGGCACGGAGGCCGAGGGGGCCCAGAACGGAAAAGAAAACGTTAACGGAAACACAAAAGGCAGAACCGAGGTCAGGAATGAAAACGTGCTTGGGTCATCGTTGCCGAAAGAAGCCCTGACAAAATCCATCCCAACGATCCGGCATCCCCATTCGCTTTGAAATGAATAAGCCCGATTTCAATTATTTCAATTATTTTGGGACCCAGATAATTGAAATAATTGAAGTCGGGTGGTCGGGTGAGTCCGAGCCGCCAAACCCCACCATTTCAATGATTGAAACAATTGAAATCGGGCCTGTTTCTCTTATTTCAAGTATTTGGGGTCCGAAAATACTTGGAATAGTTGAAATCGGGCTTACTTCAATGAGATCAATAATCAATTACTGAAATCGTGGGGTTTGGCGGCTTACACAAGTAGATGGGGACTTCAATTATTTCAATTATTTGGGGGGGGTCCCAAATAATTGAACTACTTCCCAGCACCCAGCTTCGTTGGACAGGGAGCACTCAAGAACCCTGTGCACCGTGTTACCCTGGTGCAATCTCATAGTTCCTGTCAACGTCGGACTGCAAACTTCAGATCATTGCAATGCATCAAGCTCTCTTACGGTGCAGTATCACCCAAAACCCCAAGTCCAGAAACTTAAGCCTCCCACTCCCCCTCCCAAGCCTTCGGGTCTCCGGGTGAGTCATACTGCCTTGGATTCCGAGAAATTCGACTTTGAGGCTTTGTTGGAGGCTTTTCTGTAGGATTTGGAGCCTCGCAGGGCTTGAGGGATTAACTGGCGTGGAGCCTCGTCCAACACAGCAGAGCATGCCGCATGACTCGGAATTTTCGTGGTCTTTGGCACACGACGCAAATGTGTCCACATAGGGCCGGGTGCGGATGCATGCGTGCTCGTCAAGAGAAGCAGGAAAATGCATGAACATGCTGAGACTGCTAGGAGCATCCCAATCTGTCCTCGCGGACGCGAAAGCTTCTAAGCAGAGAGAGGGGGACAGAGAGGGAGAGAGAGAGAGAGAGAGAGAGCGAGCGAGAGAGAGAGAGAGAGAGAGCACAGGCGAGCGACACAGAAAGACGAAGGGGCCGAAATAGAGGGAACGGTTTCGAGATGTTTCGTGTTGAGCGGGTAGATAGATTGTTTGATCATGCCAACATGGACTACAAGTAAGTTATGAGCAGAGACCGAAAGGAAAGCAGACCCCTCAACCCGCCCCCCCTAAACCCGTGAAGCCCTAGGTAAGATCACCCCAAAGCAAAGTCACACTATCTGAATCCTTACAATAGAAGCCTTCGACCCAGAAGCGCAATGCATTGAAGGCCCACAGCCACCCAACAAAGCCGCTTGAGCGACAAACTACTGACAAACTGTTAGTTAAGAACTGGGAGAACAGTCCAAGTCCGCAAAGTCCACACCATCCTCCGAAACCCTTCCGCCCAACCACCACACCTTAATCTCCGCGGTGCGAGGAAACGCTAAGTTTTGTTGAACATAGGGCTCGTGCACTTATCACTTGATTGCCATGGAACATCTAAGCGAGTTGTCAACTTCGGGCCGCAGCTAGAACCCCGATCACCAAACCTTCTAAACCGTTTACACTTTCTGGCCTAAAACAATGCTCAAAAGATAAACCCATGAAGCCCGTGACAGTGAACCTGCTCAACACCTTTGCCTTACCCCGAACACCTTATAGTACTCTGTGAAGCAGATCTCTGAAAGCCTGAAAGACGCCCTTACTGTACAGTATCCCTGGCGAATCCTAAACCACAAACCTTCTTCTCAAGACAGAGAGCTGCCAAGCCCTTAGAGACAGAAGGACCACGGCAGGCCGAAAACATCATGAGGGTTTAGGGCTTAGGGTTTAAAGGTATTGGGTCAAGGGTCTTGAGCTCAGGGCTGAGGCTTGACGGTTTAGTCGCTTCGGGTTGCCGTGGTCGCCGTTAGGGCTTTACGGGTTCAGGATTCAGGGTGAGGTCTCCAAGACGTGACAAAAACTAACTCGAACCTACTCCGTGGGGGCTTCGAGACGCATATGCGTATGCGGAACGGCTTTTAGGATTCGTAGAGTTGGTGGCTTTGGGGTTCTTCGGAGTCTAGAGTTCAGGAGTGTTTAGTGTTTACCAGGGTGTAGCTATCACCCTGGGGTTTCGTGGCAGAGAACCAAAGAGAAAAACACATGAAAGTCGTGCGTAACGCTTTGCGTGCTCAGAGTGCAGAGGGCTTGGGATTCACAGGATGTGGGAGCTTGAAGTGTAGCGGCCGCGGGTGTGGGGGGAGTCTGATACATGGGCTTCGCGTGTCGTGCTTTGGGGTTATGGTGCGAGGAGTGCAGTGGTTTGGTGGGTTTAGCGTAATTCGGGTCAAGGCCGTTACCGGTTTTGTGCTAATGGACCACCTTGCAAGTCTTGAGGGCCCTTTCCAAATCTTGACAAGGCATCAACTAGTCTTGAAAGCTGTTCAAGGTCTCTTGAATCGTCTTGTCCTGGCCATCGCTGTGCCAGGCTTAGCACTTAAGCCTGCATCACAAACGTCGTGACGGATAAGATTTCCAGAGTTTGGAGCTTTGAGGGTCTGGCTCAGGTTCAGGGTTGCTTCAACGACAGTGCAAGCTTCTTCGGCCGCATACAGCCTTCGGCAAGGCTCTGAACCGTTGATCGGGTTTGATGCCCAGCTTCGTGGCCGACTTGACGGGAGCTTCGCGTGGCTCTTGTGAGAGGTTTGCAACTGGAGCCCTCCCTCGTTGGACTCCCGCTGGATGCAAGTGGATCCCAAAAATGTTTGGGGTTGCCGGGCTGCTTACAATACTTGCACTAGCATTCGGGCCTACACTCGGGGTACTCAGAACCTACAAGCCATAGGTCGGACGGAAGAAGAATGCTCATGAATTGCACCATGACGATATCAGAATTTCTACTGACCCCCAAGTCAGTCACTGGGGTCACATCGCTCAGGCCAGAACCCTGTAGGCTGCAGTACTTGGCTAGCTTATTCAGCAGCGTTTTTACCGCGAGTGAAAATAGGCTGCGCTTAAGGTTTATGGTTTGTGCTTGAAATCACACTGGCAGTCGGCAGTCTTTTGGATCTTCGTCGGAATCCTGCTGCATTCCCAACGTTGGGGAACCGGAGTCTTCGGGAGGGCTTTGTCACATCTAAACAGCAGCTCAAACTCAAGGGCTGGCCTCTTTTGAATATAGGGTTCTGCGCGTATTCACGCTGGCCTGAACCCTACACCCCAAACTTCCACAAACCTAGGAACCGTAAATCTTTAACCACGATTCTAAATCAGCAAATTAAGCTCTACGGCCGAAGATTGAACACGCTCAATCCCCGAACTGAGCCTAAGAAGGTGAAACGCGCCCTAACACTGAAATTTTCAACAATCCAAGAACCCTGCCCTGTCAAAGTCCTGACTCATTCACTAAAACCCTAAGCCTAAGCCCTAAGCTCTATTCCACCCCTTCAGAACCGCTCAGGGCAGTGATTCTGCCATCTGCTGGAGCAAACCAGCCACGGAGGCCTGTTTAAGGGCAGGATTTAGGGTTCTGTGTGGCTGTCTGACCTGGGGTTCAATGGGATTTTTGGGGTCGAAGAGAGCTTAAAAAGCGTGAACGCTTTGGGATTTTGGGTGTTAGGATGTGGCGATTTGGGTCTGTGGGCTTTTTTTACCACTACTACCACTACTTCCACTA